TGTTTTCCTTAGTTTTTTTTCAGAATGTCAGACAGTGCTTAATTTACACTGTGCTTTTTGAATTGATTTACAGTAAATGATGTGCCAAATCGTCACGTAAAACATAGTAAAAATTAAGTGTGAAACAAGCTTTGACAATAGAACCCAACTGCCTAGACAAGCTTGAGAAGTTGGTTTTATCTGTAAATTGATCAATAACACTTTCCTATAAATACACGTGGTGCCAATGGATTCAAGTCTCTACTCAAGAACCCAAACGTGGCCAATGTTAAAAAGAACATGTATCCTGTAAAGATGGCAGAACAGAGAATAACAACAACAGCAACAAATCGCATTGATATAAGCCCCTTGTGTGTCAGGAGGACCTCACAAGGAGCAGGAGTGTCAAGGTTTTGCACCTGAGGGTTTTGGGGGGGGGGGGGGGATTCAGGAGGACTTCGGTTGGACTTTGGCAATAACTCTATCAACTTCATCCTGAAGTGATGGGTAGAAGATTTCTGCTCAGGATGCATTTTTGTGATTATGTAAAATAACCTAGATTAAACTGTGTAACTTGATTGAACTGCCAGACAGTATTCACAATGGCAAGCTGAACAGTTTTAGCTGGTTAAACTGTAGCACACTCTGGGATCCCAAAACCTTTGCTCTTGCCAACTCAGGCCTAATGCCCCCAAAATACACACAGTCACGTTATTTTATAGCGTATCCTGTGAAGCATTTTGAGAGTTCTCGGTGATGACATAAGGCACTAAATCAAATGTCACGATTATTATAAATTTTAATGATTTTCAAGATTAGGTGAACTGGGTATTTCCCTTCAGGGAGAGAATGTTCACTCCATTCCAGACACAGAAAAATTCCCCTGCATATGTGGAGCTCTCAGTAGTCTGGTTTGGATACTCTTTTGCATTTTCGTAAGTTTCCCTGTTGTCTGGTTTGGATACTCTTTTGCATTTTGGTAAGTTTCCCTGTTTTTAATGCATTTCACAATCAAATATATACTTTCATAAAAGAAAACTTCAACATGAGTGATGTGGAACACTGAGCAAGGGGTGGGGGGGGAAGAAGGGGGCGAGGGTATGGTCAAAGAGATGGGTTTCAAGATGACTTTTGATGGGATTGAGAGCAGGTGAGATAATGGGGTTTTGAGATGGGTGTTCAGGAGAATAGTGCCTGAAAGAATGTTAACATTGTGAAGGTTGCTGGTCACGTGGCAGCCTCTTTAATAACATGACAAACTAGCACAGGCCAGCAGAGTTTCAGCACATGCACTTGATTCCACATACGCTGAGCTCACCTAGTCCCCAAATAGAATGAGTGGGAAAATAAATGTGTCTTCTATTTGCTCTACTAGTGGACGTTATGCTGCATTGCTTTCAGCTCAACAGAGCTCTTGGCCCTTGTCATTTCAGCAATCACTTCAACACTGTTCAAGCTCAGTCTCACAGACTGGATAAATTAATGTCTACTGCCCTGTGGCTAACAGTAACAATGTGTACACAAGGATCAATGAGTCATCGATGTTGCACATTAATTTCAAAATTACAGCTTGAAATTTGCTCCGCCACAATAACCATAATTGGAATGTTGTAGATAATTTACAATAAGAGCCGGAAACATATGCAGGCATTAATTGAGGACCGTTTTATAACATGTCATGCTAGTTGCTAGGTAAGATACTTACACATAGGACAATAATAAAAGATAACATAGCAACACCAGTCATTCTAACCCACAAAAGCAAACACATTAACAGAGGCAGATGCCTGAATGGGAAAATCAGAGTAGGTAGGGGAGACAAATTACATTATGTTTTCCACTACAACATTTATTTTACTGAAGCTATTACACATAATTAATATTGTTTTGTTTTATAAAACATGTTTTTAAGTTTAAGCATTGTGACTCTACATTTTGATAATAACTTACATTTGATTTATCGTGTCAACACTTAAAGGTGCATCATAGCAATTTCTATTATATGCAGTGACTGTGTATTTGTAGGTGAACAAAGCAGCCAATTTGTGCACAGAAATATAGTAATAATGATCCTTATATTTGGTATAGCGTTGTTAACGTTGGGAGGACATCTCAAAGCATTCACAGGATATATACTGTAAATTTAGTGACTCTGTTTTGTGAACGTAGCAGCCAATTTGCTCACAGCAATGTCCCATTTAAAGTAGGTGATTCACCAACTAAACAGGTGTATTATACTATGGCATTTAAATCATTTTTTTTAAAAAAGTTTATTAATTAAACAACAACAAAATTACATTTGTATAGCGCCTTTCACGTCGGGCGGACATCCCAAGGTGCTGGGGAGGACGTCCCAAGGGGTCCAGCGCCTTGGGACGTAAACTTTATAGTTATAAAGTAACTATATACTATCACTAGATATGATTATCATATATAATTGCTTCCTGGACTCTGAATAGAGCAAATCTGGACCCAGGTGTTCAGGAAGCTCTGCTGCAAACTGTTTGGAAGTAGATATCAGATTAGATGCGGAACACTTGCTGTCGAAGTTCACACGTGAATAATGGCCACTTGGACGAGGTACTGGCTGGCGGTCAGCACACTTGGAACTGTATCTCAGGAGAAAAAACAGTCAAAATACTTTCATGAGAGGAGTGAGGAGAAAAAATGGATGAGAAAGAATAATTTTCTATTCAATTGTAATAAGAATAAAATGTTTTACACAAAAAACATTACTTCTGACACTAATACGCCCTATTAAATGGCATTATAGTTTTTTTTAATCATATAATTCTGTGTTGTACATCTATCTGGATTACAATAATACAGTACATTATTTCACAAGCCTACTGAAACAATTAAAAAACAATATATTATCCACCAAGCATACATTTCCAGATTTATTTTATATAGAGTTTAGATGTATAATCTGTGGAAGAGCTAATAAGTTGTATATCTCAGTCAGCGAGTAGCAAAAAGTTTGCTTTTGATGGGAATAGGTTATTGCCATTTTGCTAGTATTTCCTGATGATTACAATGTTCCCATTGGTGCAGTGGTGTCTCCCAAGAATTGCAAGATTTTTCATCCCATTAAACTATGCTTCACAAGGAAAGCAATGGCAGAGCTGATAGGCTGATTATACAACAGTCTTTTGCAGAATACGCATCCACCTTTGAACCACAATCTTGGAAAAGCATCCATATTCCAACAATGAATATTTCCATTTCCCACACCAGCCATGCTTGTGCTGTCTCTGAGTAAGCATGCCAATTTAGTACCAACTTCGGCAAAATTATGGATAATTTGATGCTGTGGAAATTGAATTAAAACTGCCCAAGCTCTTTTCATTTATGAAATAGAAGACATTCATCGCATCAATTTGACTGGAGTGAAACCCATATCCCAGACATGATAGCACAATAAACATAGGTCTTGAATACTAGTCTACTCTACCTGGCATTAACAGATAAGCTGTGACTCTTCCTGGCAGAACCAAGAGATAGCAAATGCATGGAACTGAGCACCTCAACTTGGGAGAGGAATAGAATTGACAGAACCAGTTTCATTGTGCAGAAATGTGTCTAACTTTCATCTAAGCCAACCGAGGAACGTCATTGATGGCAATGGGAAACAGACCTTGGCATAAAACGTGCTGGCAGAAGGGAGATAAAAGTAGGAGTAGGAAAAACAAATGAGTTATTTTGCTTTGTTGCAAACAGTAAATGAGTTTAAAAGGTCAGGACATCACCTGAACCTTTTGTTACCTTGAATGGGAACAGATAGCATCTGTTTGCAAGAAATATACAGTGTTGATGTGATTCTCTGTATGCTAAAGTCCATGAGTTGTAAAGTGCATGATATCCATTCCGAGAGGGCTTTTGGATCCATGGCAGACAGTATCCACTTCCAGCATTGTACCCGCCTCCGAACTAAAAGTAAAATGTCATCTTTTCCAACCTTGGTGTTGGAAAGAACTGAATATGTTAAAATACTCCTCAGTTGCCAAGAGTAAAGATAGCGTGCATTGAACGAATGCATTTCCAGTAAGCAATATGCAGTAAGCTTCTTTGTAATATTTAATAGAAATATCACAGGGCTTGAAGGAAGACTGCAAAAGGGTTGAAAAGAATGTTCATTATTTAAAGGAGAAGGTAAAACTTTGCGTAAGTATCAGCAATAAGAACAGCGTATTGATCCTCTTTTAACTTTTGCTTTCTAGGGTTTATAGGGTTACTTTCTGTAACTTATATTCATCTACTTTGCATGGAATAGACAGGAACACACACTTGCTAAGGTAATAGCAGCCATTGGAATGAACCTCCTGCTGCATATCTGCTCATTAACATTGTTATCAGTACAATGCATGACCTCTGAATTAGAAGTGTTTTCAGTCTCAACCAGGCTGCCCTCCAAGTAGCAAATTTGTTGCTGCTGGCTAAGCATTATTCTGCTTGCTTCAGTTTTCCTAAATGTGTCAATGTGCGCTTAGAGAAAACTATAACGTAACATTAATTTTTACATAGATTTAGATTAATTATACAGCACGGAAACAGGCCATCTGACCCAAGTCGTGCCAGTGTTTATACTCCACATGAGTCTTCACCCATTCCTTACTCCCTCCCATACCCTATTCCCTTCTCCCTCGTGTATTTATCGAGCTTCCTCTTAATGCATCTATACTATAATAATTATAATAATCCTTGCATTTGATATAGCACTTTATCATGTCTTCGAGACATCTCAAAGTGCTTCACACAATATACTGTAAAGTGAATTGACTGTATATTTTGTGGGTGAAACACGGCAGCCAATTGCGCACAGCAGTGTCCCACAAACAGTCGTGGAGTGAGTGGTGGCCAATTTTTTTTGAAGGGATTATTACACCCGGAAAAGCGATCTACCAATTGACTAACAACTGGATTCCTACTTACTGCCAGGTAAACAGAGCCACTTGAAGTAAGGAAACTCGCCCAATATTTCGCTCTGCCTGAGAATCAAACCCGGGTCCTCTTGCTTGCGTGGCGAGTGCTCTAACCACAAAGCTACTTATTTGATTCAACCACCACTTCGGGCAGTAAATTGAAACTATCAGTTCATTTAAATTTTATAATGCAATATTATTATGCAGTTAAAATTACATTAGTTAATAATTTACAATTATTTCTAAATGCAAATTTGTAAAATGTAACAAATAAGGGCCAAACTTACCAAACAGAGCAGAATAGCTCTTAGCGAACAGCAACAAATTGAATCCTATGAGCGCACAGAGCACAATAACTCAACAGCACTGAGAGAGTGACTCACTGAGCTCATTCCATCAGCTTGTCGAATGCAGTGACATCAGTGTTATTGAGCAGATGCGTTGAAAAGGGATCCCATTTGGCTCCATCAATCTAGACATAATTTTACGTCTCTCCAACAAAAAAAGGATATCCTTAAAAACAAAATGTAAAAGTTGTTTAAAACTTGAGATATTAACCTAGTGCTTAATATTAATTATATCTGTACTTACTCATTGAGTTAATTTCTCCTTTAAAAATTGTGTTACATGGGCCAGCAAAATGTGCTTTTTAGAGAAAAGTAGGTAGAGAAGGGCTTATTTTATAGCTGCGTTAATTTATCATCATCTAGACAAAATGCTTCATTTTTTAGTCCATCATTTGAGTCCAGCACAGTACAGTACACTCCGTTTTCAGTTCCTTTGAGTGTTTTGTCTTCAATCTCTTCGTTTTCATCCTCCTCTTGTACCTTTCCTTTCCTGCGACAGATCCATCACAGAAAAACAAGATGTCAGGAAAATAACAGTAGCATTGGCAAGCATTACGGTGAAAATTGCGAGGTGGGATCATTGAACATTACAGTCGAGTAAATCACTGGTTTTGATTGACTACAGGTGCCACTTCAATGATGTGACATTTCTCATTTCTGATAATCACATCACACCTTACAATTTTCAGTCCCATTATTACTGAACTCGTTTTTGAGAGCAAGAGTATATTAGACCCCCATGATGAGGGAGTCTAATAAACTCTTGCTCTCAAAAACAGCAACAAAATTACATTCGTATAGCGCCTTTCACGTCGGGAGGACGTCTCAAGAAGCTGGACAGTCAGTGTTTCGGATCCGAGCTGGGGGGGGGTCAGGATCGGGGAGGGTGGAGGGCAGTGGGGGGAAGGAGGGTGATCGAAGGCACGATTGAAGTGCAGGGTCTTGAGATAGGTCTTGAAGGAGGCAAGGGAGGGGGCGAGGTGTAGGGACTGTGGGATGAAGTTCCAGAGGGTGGAGTCAGAGTGGCTGATGGCCCACCACTAATGGTGGGGCGGGCAAGGCGGGGAATGTGAAGCAGGCCAGAGCCCGCTGAGCAGAGGGAGAGGACAGGCTGGTAGGGAGTTAGGAGGTTGCAGAGGTAGGGGGGATCGGGCCACTGAGGGCTTTGAAGATGAGGACCAGGATCTTGAACTGTATCCTCTGAGTGATGGGAAGCCAGTAGAGTCGGGCGAGGATGGGGTGATAGGGTCATGAAGCCTGGCTCGGGAGAGGACACGGGCTGCAGAGTTCTGGATGATCTGCAGCCCATGGAGGGAGGAGTTGGGGAGGCCGACAAGCAATGAGTTTGCACAATCAAGCCTCGATGTTATGAACGCGTGTATGAGGGCTTCGGCGGCCTGCGGTGTGAGACAGTGGCGAAGCCGGGCTATGTTGCAGAGGTGGGGGAAGGCAGAGCGTGTCATGGCACGGATGTGGGGTAGAAAGGATAACTGGGTCAAACAAGATGCCAAGGTTCTGGACTGGCTTAGTAATGTGGAGTAGCAATCGTTCCCACTAAAGGATACAAATTCAACAATGGCAACAACTTGCACCCATATAACGGCTTTTTACACAAAGTGCTTTAAAGACATGGGGTGGGAGCCCCAGATGGGAGGCAAGGGGAGGGGTTTGAAGGTGCAGTCAAAGACAGGTCTTTTGGGTGGCCTGAAAGCAGATTTACTCTATTTATTATTACTACAGAGGGTCTATAATTTGACAAATTTTCTTTAAGCAAGCTGAAAGCAGCCAGTCGGAACATCAGCGGACCTGGAATGAAGGGACAAAGTAAAAGTAGATGTGGGTGGCATCAGTGTACGTGTGAAAATTAACCCAACATATGTGAATGATGTCAACAAGATGAGTTGAAGGAAAGGCGGGAACAGCTAGGATGGGAGATAGTTCTAAATTCAAGAGGTGAGTGTGTTGATGGTCATGGAGATGCAGTCAATGAACAAGCTGATGACGACATCAAGACCAGGTAGGGTGGAGGGGCAAAAGCAGAGGACAGTATTGCAATTGAGAGGGACCAAGGAGGAATTTTCTCAAGGGTGGAATGGAGGGTGAGTTTAGAGAGATGAGGAAGTGATCAGAAATGGCCTTGTCAGAGATGGCGAGCTCAGAGATATCAAGACAGAGATGTCAAAGACATGTGTAATGGCAAGACTGAAGGGGTGCCCACATATGTGAGTAAGGTGACGAGACAGGGCAAGAGGGATTAAAGGTTAAAGGTTTAACTTCAGCTCCTTAAAGGTTTAACCTTTAAGGAGCTGAAGTCACCAATAATGAGAAGGTGGTCAGTGCAGAAACTGAATGAGAGGAGGGAAGATAATAATAATAATCTTTACATTTGATTTAACGCCTTATCATGTTGAAACATCTCAAAGTGCTTCACTGAATTTATTGTAAAGTGTAGCCAGTGTGTATTGTAGCCAAATGCAGTAGACAATTTGTGCACATAACAAACAGGCATGAAGTGAATGATCATTTTTATCTGGCGGGATTGTCAGCCAGAATAACAAGAGAAATCCTCTTCTCTTTTCCTACAGTGTCATGGGATCGTTAAATGTCCACCTGAACGAATAGACATGACCTCAATCTTTTCTGAAGGACAGGAACCTCTGATAAATAAAGCAGTGCTCCCCTAACACTGTATTGAGCTCAAGGTCTTGATGTGGGGTTTGAACCCACATCCTTCTGACTCCCAAGTGAGAGAAAGTGCTATCAACTGAGTCAGGCTGACATAAAGGTTGTTTGGGAGGGTGGTAGTTCATTAGAGTGATGCAGAGTGAGAGACATCACCCAATATGCTGTCCAGCTTTTGATTTGTAACTGGTTGGCTTTTACAATTAGCTATTTTGTGAACATCACAAACTACACCATTATGTATGGTTGTGGACATTGAAGCCTCACAATGATATTGGCGCAGCACAGGTAAACTCTGACATACATTATGCAGGTTGATGTGCCAGTCTCAGTTTGATTCCACACATACTGGAAACAAAGTTATGATAGAAACAACAAAGCTTTATAACTCTCATGGCTACTTAATAACTATTTGCTAAAGAAAAAGTGGTAGAGGATTGTGAGGACACTTAAGGTTTTAGAGCACTTACTTCATTTTCTCACGGTGACCAGTGACCATTAAGGCAATAAATGCAACCAAAACCAAGCCTATGACAATACCAAACACGATCAGCCATACAGTAACAGGTGGTTCACTGACTGTGGGCAGAGTGGGTTTGATACCCACAAACTCCAGGGTGCTGTCATCCAGAGAGAAGGCATCATTGAATCGGCCTCTAACCATTCTGAAAAATGTAAAGCAGAAAAGAAGTTATCTGCGGTGTCAGCTCAGGCGAGAAAATCTTTTGCTGTGGGCCGGCTCGCTATCTTTTGAATAAGTTAAGTCTCACTTGATTGCCTCGTCCACTTGTATCCTCGGAACTGGATTAGATACGTTTTCCGGTCCTGTCACCATAAAGTAAAATGAAATCCTCACGGTTTCTTCACATATGTGCACATCATCTACACTGCAAAGACCAACAGAACAATCACTGTAACCACATGTTAGCTCCTGTTTTGGAGCACGTCACTGAGATAAACCAGTGCTCTCAGTTTCTATCAGTGGAGGGCTGTGTATATAATACTAGCAATAATAATAATAATAATAATCCTTGCATTTGATATAGCGCCTTATGATATCATTGAGACATCTCAAAGCACTTCAAAGGACATACTGTAAAATGGATTACTGTGTATTTTGTGGGTGAATCGTGGCAACCAGTGCACACAGTATTGTCCCACAATCTGCCATCCCCCAATTTTATTTGGGGGATTGTTAGCCAGAACAATGGGAAAAACTCCCATTTTTTTTTAATAGTATTATGGGATCTTTAACGTCCACCTGAAGGGGCAGATTGGACCTTGGTTTAACATCTCATCCGAAGGACAGTACCTCCGACAATGCAACACACCCCCAGAACTGCATTGGAGTGTCAGCTTAGACTATGTGATTCGAAGTCCTGACATGGGGCTTGAACCCACAACCTTCTGACTTAGAGGCGAGAGTGCTACCACTGAGCCAGGCTGACACCTATATGTAGGTAAGGCAGTAACTAAAATAATTAATAATCTTTACATTTGGTATTCCTTTCACATTGGAAGGATGTCCCAAAGTGCTTCACAGGATATGTTGTAAAGTGCAATGAGTCTTTATTTTGTGGAAAAACATAAGTTTAAATATGTAATGTTGAACAAAAAACATAAACACAAAAACCTGTAAATTAACATTTTCTTAATTCGGACTTTGAGATCAATTTTGTAATCTAAATCCAAGAGAAAACAATTCTGAAATGAGTCCGTTCCTCCTCCCCCATCCCTTCTGCCTCAGCACAATGTTGTGCCTGAGGATTCCTCCACAGAAAGCTGCCCTAGACGCACAGATCAGCCTTTGAGTGCAACTAAAACAGAATATTGACCTACTTCAGTCAGTATTCTATGAGTGACACTTTCATTTAAGATGGTAGGGTGGGTATTCTGGAAGGATGAGATCAAATGCACTGAAGAGCCTTCTTCATCCAAACCAAGTTTGTGAAATTCTGTTTCTAGAATATAATATCAAAGTTAGTCAGGCACTTCTAAGATCAGATATGGACTGATATTTGTTGAAAATAACTTGAAAAGAAGCAGGATTTTGCCTAGATTTTGTAACATTTTAATGCAAAGGTCTTAAGGCAATGGTCTGAAGTAACTTGAAAAGAACCAATCTTAACATGGGGATGTGAGGTTGGGGTGGGGGTGTTGAGTAACCAATGATACTTTACAAATGGCTTGAAATGTGTGGATTCTTATGATGCATTTAATGTGATAATTAATTACCACATTGAACACGTTAGGAAGTTTTTGATTTTTGATTTCTTTAAATTTTCAGCAAACAAATGTTTTTAAAGAAACAAAATTTAATTTGTTTAAAGGTTTTCAGCGATCTTTTCAACTACAAAAATCATCAACTTCCATGTCACAACAACAACAACAACAAGATTACATTTGTATCACGTCAGGAGGACGTCCCAAGGCGCTGGACAGTGTACAGCATTTCAGACCCGAGCTGAGGTCAGGGGAGAAGAAGGGAGGGGAAGGGAAGGGGGGTGGCCGATGGTATGGGTGAAGAGTAGGGTCTTGAGGCAGGACTTGAAGGAGGCTAAGGAGGGGGCAAGGTGGAATGATTGGGGGATGGAATTCCAGAGGTTGGAGGCAGAGTGGCTGAAGGCTCTCCCGCCAATGGTGGGACGGGTGGGTCGGGGGACATGGAGCATGCCGGAGCCGGCTGAGCAGAGGGAGCGGGAGGGTTGGCAGGGGTAGGGATCTGAAGTAATTTCCTGCACAAGGTCATGCCGAAAATTACTTCAAACCATTGCCTTAAAATGTTGCAAAATCTGGGCAAAATCCTGCTTCTAAGTTAAGACTGAATTTAAGAATTTTCAAAAATTCTTCAAAATCTTAAATTTTCAGATAGTGGCTTGTGAACATAAGAATTAACCATGGAAGCATTACTACTCTATGTCACATTAATTGATGATGCAATTGTTAAGAACCCTATATTATTTGAACTTTAAGGCTTCGGTTTTGATGTCAGAAGAGATTAGCAATGATAGATTAAATGTGAGTCCTTGTAAAGCCTTTCTCTGCTGACTAAAGTAGAATTTCTATCTCTGTACTGTAACTTGGCACAATAAATGTCACGAGGAGAGCTTTAACCCTTAGAGAGTAGTAGCAGTATTTCTATAAAACATCCAGAAGACATTTCAGTTTAAGGTCTTCACTCAGCGTGAATTCTGGCCAGTTACCCTCTTGTGTGTTATAGAATAACAGTGCTGAGTTCCTTATGCTTTTCACCACTCGATAGTGTTTGTGTGCACAAAGAGCATCTGTCCAAGAGGTCAGTTAGTCGCTGCTCCTGCCCTGCTATTTCATTCAATATCCTCCAGGTAACAAATTTGTTGATGTGAGGCTGACAATTTTTCTGCTACATGTAATTATTTTTACCAATACATTCCTGCATACTTAAACAGTATTTTTTGCAGCCCGTTTAATTTTGCTCATTTTGCTCTCTGTCTTTGTGTGAAATTAAATGGGCTGCGAAAAATCTTTTAATTCCACTTTACCTTTAATGGAGCAGGTGGGATATTGCTTTGTTGCGCGAGAAAAGGCAAGCGCTGAAAGCAGTCATTCTACTTTAGATGTAATGCAACTTTAACGCTGAAATAAAATTATATTAGCAATGTAAATTCGATTTTCCGAACAACAGGGTTAATTTTATCGTACAGCTTCATGGAATTTCTAGATGGAGCACAGAGAAGAACAACCTAGTTATGAGTCTGCCTCCATTCTGTGTCCTGCCAACTCTATGTACTTGGCACTGCACCTCCTTCGGGGTTTAACAAAGTCTCTAACGTCTGTAAGGCATTTGTACGTCAATGGATAGTGCTGAAATTAAACTTTCCCAGGATTGTAAAGCAGCAGGTTACACAGGGCTTGTTTTTCTATTTGGATCAATTGTCAGCTGTCTTGCAGCAGCAAGAAGTTATACATAGAAAGTGATTTTTCTGCACTACACTATTCAATGGAACAGAAGGCAACTGTTCAATTTCAAGGCAACTGTGCTGGGAATTATTTCCTAGACTTTTGCTTTCTTAGAACTTTTTTTTTGTCCTCCAGTTTTTTTNCCATGATGACAGATGTTCCAGCAGTACTGAAAACATCTGGTATAATAGTATCACAATTGTACTCACTCTTCACTTTATTGGTGTTCTCAGATGCATGGATATAGATGCATTCAAGAGGAAGCTAGATCTTTACATGAAGGAGATGGTAATAGAAAGGTGTGGGAGGGAGTAAAGAATGGTTGGAGACTCATGTGGAGTATGAACACCAGCCATACTTGTTGGGCCAAGTTACCTATTTTGGTGCTGTTCACTCTTTATAACAACAACAAAATTACATTTGTATATAAATCTTTGGAAATCATTTTATAGCACATTATTAGGTTTCTCATCATGCATAAGTACTGTCAAGTCCCATTGTTTGGCGAATCAAGGTTAGATTTAAAATTTTTGTAGGCAAACACAGCAGCCATTTGCACCACCAGGTTCCTACTAACAGCCATAGATGAATGATCTATTTTATCTGAGGGATTATTGGCCAGAATAGAGGAAAAACTCCCTTCTCATTTCAAACAACATCATTGGATCTTTCACAGTTGCCTTGAAATGTCCTTCTGACCCCCTATCAACCTGTCCGCTCCCTCCGCTTAGCAGGCCTGCTCCAGGTCTCCCGACCGACCCCCCCCCCCCCCTTCCCATCGGCAGCCGGACTTTAAGCCTCTCTGCCCCCACTCTTTGGATCTCCATCCTACAATCCCTTCACCTTACTCCCTCTCTTGCCTCCTTCAAGGCATGACTCAAGACACTTCTTTTTGACCATGCCTTCAGCCGCCCTCCTACCCCCTCTGCCCTCCCTCATCCCAACTCTGCCCCACAATTGGGTCCTGATCCCTGACCGTTCAGCGCCTTGGGACATCCTCCCGACGTGAAAGGCACTTATACAAATGTAATTTGGTTGTTGTTGTTGTTATTCAACATTCACCTGAAGAGCATGCAGATGTAACTTCAGTTTAATGTCTCATCCAAATGACGGCACCTCTGACAAAAGCAGCGGATGCCCACCAAAGATCAGCTGTGACTGTGATCTCAAATTAAAATGATATGCCATTATGCAATGTGCAGATATGCACAATCTACTGCACTTGCAAAATTGCTTGTCGAACAATCTAAAGGTTTCAGCAACGAGCAATCGAGCAAAAGGTACTGAAACATAACAATCCCTGAATGTGCAATACAATGTTTAGGATGTAGAGATCAATATCTTTCCTTTGCAAAGCAATGATATCATTGAGCATTTCAAAGCTAACATTGGGCAATGAATAAGAAGAATGATCATCACAAATCAAAAAAAAACATTATTAAGAAAGTCTTTTTTAGTTGCATAATGTTTATTTGATTTGCTTTTATTTGCCCTTTCATTGAAGGACCAGCCACCAACACTAACACACTGGGTCAAATGGCCTCACTGATTGAGTGGCTCCACTATGCTTCAAAAGGCAATATTAGGGCAGATAGATAGTTATGCAGGAGAACATGGGAGTTTAGTATTATTCCAATGACTGCTAATGTTCTGATAAGTAGGCTTTTAGAGCAGGATTAACGGGTTTACAGGATTGCCATGTTGCGTTTTTGCTTGCTTCTGTTCTAAGTACTCGATATCTGAGTGGTTACTTTTTAAACTTTTTACATAACATCCAAAGACACTTTGCACGGCTGACAAACTCGTTTTCCAGAGAGAAGAAGACCTGAGATAGGGGTTGGGATCAGAGGGATGGATGGAGGATAGGAGTGACTGGTCGAAGGAGGGTGACCGGTCGAAGAGGAGGGTCTTGAGACGCGACTCGAAGGAAGCAAGGGATGGGTTGAGG